TGATTTACTTTGCGGTACAGCAGAAACTAACACAACATTGTAAAGCAACTATACTCCAGCAAAAATTAATTAAAAAAAAATTCTGTTACAGGAGGCAGTTTGCACAGGCACGGGTCAATGCAAGTATTTGGAGCCAGCCCCACGGGTTCGAGCCCAGGCTCTGCATTCTCGGTTGTGTGACTTTCGCCAAGAGCCTTGATCTCTCTGTTCCTCGTATCCGCAAAACTGGACTGGGTACTCAATAGGACTTAATGTAACTAAAAGCCCTTGGAGGCAGGCGTGCAATGTTACTTTAGAAAGGAGGACACAGGCTCAAGAGATGGACGTCGACGCCGGGCGGCGCCTGAAGTGCTCAGTCCAGTAAAGAAAGGACCAGGGTGGCAGACGAGGGACCCCTCCGGGCACGCGGGCTCCAGCCGCTGAGAGCGGCGTCGGCAGGGAAGGGGTTACAACGATAGAGACGACAGGAGGACCATGGGTGGCATGAGCCGCCCTAGCTGCCGTCCTCACGAACGCCTCCCGTCCCGGGCTAGCGCCGGGAGCCGAATGCGCAGGCGCGAGAGCCCGGCGTGGGGGCGGGGGGCACCTCCCTAGACACCCGGAAGTCTCCGCCTAACGGGCCGAGCCCGGGCCTCCTGTCCTGGAAGGGGGCGGGGCCCGAAGCCCCTCAGAGCGCGGCGCCATAGAGCGTGGACGGAGGACCCTTGTCCTAGACGCATCCGGAAGTGGCTCCCTGGGGCGCCCGCTTCGCACCATTTAGTTGGGGGGGGGGGGGGTCGGCAGCTAGGGGGTTGCCGGGCTCGCCTTCCTAGAGCGGCGAGGACGGGGTGGAGGCTGGAGGTGGGGTGGGAAGGGGAGGGGGGAGCGGCGCGGGCGGAAGCGGCCAGGAAGGTCACTTCCGGCCTGGGCGCCCGTCCCCCTGACCCCAGGGTCTGAGTCGCCGCTGCCGCCGCTGCCACCATCCGCGAGGGAGGAGAGAGGAGGAGGAGTGCGGCGCGGCGGCCCCGGGACCGAGGAGGTGAGGGGAGGGCGCGGGGGCGGGGGGCATGCGCCGGGGGCCGGGTGGGCGCGCGCCTCAGGGCGCCGGGCTGCGGCCGGGGGGGCGGGCGGGGAGGCGGGAGGCGAGCGCGACTGGGCGGGCGAGTGCGCGTGCGCGCCGCTGGGGGGGCGTGAGTGGGCGCGCGGCCGGTGACGCGGGGCGGGGCGGGGGCACCGGGAGGGGCTGCGGGGAACGCGCTTGGGGAGTGCGAGTGCGCCGCTCCCGGGAGCGCGCCTGAGGCGGGAGCGCGCGCCGGGCCGGAGGCTCAGGCGAACGCGTCCTCCCTAGCTTCCCTGGCCGGTCGTGGCCGGAAGCGGTGGCGACTCCCGGGGGAAGTTGAGGCCCCGGTGGGGGAGGAGGCCGCGCGGGCCCAGCCTGCCTGACCGGAAACGGCGGCCCCGGGGGGCCCGTCGTAGACCCCGGCCTGCCCCCATTCCTTCCCACTTTCAAAGGAACTCGGTCCCGCTGTCGTCCCGGGCGGGCTGCGTGCGGCCTTTGATCCGGCCGATAATTACGGGCATTCCGGCCGGCGGGAGGCTCATTCATTCGCCCCTGCGCGGGCGGCGGGCAGGAAGCGCGTGCGCCAGAGGGGAAGTGATGGGCCAAGGTCAGGCACCGCGTGGCCCGCGGGGCAGGGCAAGGACGGTGGCCAGGCCCGATGGCCATCCCGAGGCCTCCCGGGCGCCGAACCGCGCCCCTGAACCCCAGCTCCCAGTCTCCGCCGTAAAGGGGGACACCCCAGTTCGTGGAAATGAGTGCCCTTCGGTCCCGCGGGGTCGGGCAAGCTTGGGATGGCGTGATCAGTCGGAAAAGTGAGCCACAGCGAGTGTGGACAGAGGCTGTTACAGAGCCGTTACCAATGCTTGGCACCAAGGACAGGGAGATGAACAAGGTCCCTGAGGGAGCGGGTAGAGACCTGGACAGAGGTCCGTGCCCCTCTCCTCCCCTCTCCACCCCCGTCCTCATCCAGGGGGCCGAGGGAGCCAGGGAAGACACCCAACCCAGCCCAATCCAGAGGGGCAGTCAGCGTTTTAGGAAAGGACTGACTTGGTTTGGGTTTTCCGTGTGGTTCCTGGTGCCCGGCCCTGCGTTGGGCAATGCTGAGGATCCAGCTAGGAGCTGGGTCTGGCCTCGCTTCTGGGGAAGCACAGTTGCTGTTGATCCTGGCTTACCTCCTAAGACTGTAAGCCTCTTTGGCTAAATGCAGCTGGCATTCACCTACCTGTCTCTGCTGTAGTCTCCTTTGTCCTCCTGCCTCAGCCACAGAGAACATTGAGATCAGATTCCTTCTAATGTTATCTCTTGTATTAGCCCTTTTCCTCCTGGAAGTCATCCAGGTCTGACCACCACCCAGCAGAGCTAGAGAACAGGGAGGGCTTAGCACCATGCTGGGCCCAGGAGCAGCACTGCAGTGTGTTAGCCCGGGGCTCTGGGGTCAGACTGACTTGCTTTCAAGTCCCAGCTTCACCGTTCATCACCTTTGTGACCTTGCGGCACAAGTAATTTCTCAGTTTCTACTTGAGTGAAACAGGGATAATAATAATAGTATTGATCTTGGCAGGAAGGTTCTTAATGCTTTCCTCTTAGAGCCAAAGCAGATCTCATGAAAGTGGGTGTAAAGCATGTGGACAGGCCTCTGGGGCCAGGCATTCCTAGGCCAGGCTCTGGCTCCATCTCTTCCAGCCCTGTGACCTTGGACATGCCACTTCCCCTTTCCCAGGCTCAGTTTCCTCCTCAGTCCCTTAAGATGGAGAGCACAGTCGACAGTTCGCTGGATAAGCCTGGTCGATCAAAGCTGCTGCCCAGGCCCTGCCCTGTGCTGGGCCCTTGGACACAGCGGTGGTCCTGGTGCAGTGCTCTGCGGTGGGGTGAGAGAGGAGGGTCACTCGGCTGGGCAGCACTTCCTGTCCTGGAGCAGCTCAGAGCCCTGGTGGGGAGGCACGTGCATGGAAGCCCAAGGCTCGGGAATTTGCCAGGATAGCCCTGGGAGCTAGAGGAACCCAGAGGGAGGGCATTCTGGTCAGGGAAGGATGTCTGGGGAGATGGCGTGTTCCGAGTCTTGAAAGACAGAGGAATTGGCCAAGAGGACTCTGGGACTTTGGGGAGGAGGATGGTGAGTTCTGGGCAGGCAGAGGTAATCTTGCTCCATGGCCTCCAGCGACTGCCTGGCTGCCCTGTGCTCTTTGGTGGTCACTCCTGGGCACACAGATCTCGGGGCACCTGTGCTCAGATGAGGCCCATAGCCCCCTAACCCTGGCTGGCTGTCCCACAGTGCTGCTTGAGGTCTCCTGCCTGCCGAGGCACGTGCCGGGCACTGCCCCCAGGGACTCAGCTCTGGCCCTGGCCTCCTGGTGGAGACAGACTGCAGATCTGACGACACTCTGGCTGAGCCCTAGGCAGGCGGCTGGCCCTGTGCCCGGTACTCAGTGTCCTGAGCCCTCGGAGGCCCTGGGATGGGGTGGTCACCCCACTCTGGGGGGGACTGAGTCCCAGGCGCCACGGCAGCACCGGAGCATGGGTCTGTGTGAATCCAGAGCCTGGCCCTTTCCCATGATGCCGCCGCCTGCGTCAGCTTCTTTTGGCCAGGCTTGGGGCCTGGGGGAGACAAAGGCTGTTCTGAAGGAGGTCTCTTAGGTGTCATTAGTTGGTTTGGGGACTCGGGGATCCCCTTCCGGTGGGGCAGCTATCGTGAAGATTCGTACAGGCGGGGCTGCTGGCTCAGGGGATTCTGAGACCCAGCCCCTCGTTTCAGGTGTGCCTTTCACAGGTGGTGAGGACACGGGCAGTGTGTGCTGAGATGCAGGTGTCAGGAGGCCTCACTAACCTATGAGGCAAGTAGGGGAGTTCTTTTGTCATGCTAGTAGGGTCAGCAGCCCTGTCGTAGGAGCAGAGAGAGCCGTTGCCTCACCCCACTGTACAGCCAGCCAGCAGAGCTTGGGGTGAGGGGCTGGCGGGGAGGGCCCTGGGCTGCTCCTGGGCCCGCCTTGGCGGGCTTTCCCTGGCTCTGTCTGCCTGGTCTCTGGGCTCTCTCATGCCGAATGAGGAGTCCCGTGTGGGCAGCCTGGTAATGAATATTGCTGGGGACCCAAAGACGCATCAGACGTGGCCCCAGCCTTGAGGCTCAGGGTCAGGCCGGCCAGAAAGTTGTGGCCCCGTGGGGCTCTGTGTGCAGGGTCTGCTGGGAGGTCGCAGTCCTCCAGGGCTGCGTGGGGCACACGCAGGGGTAAGCCAGGGAGATCCTCCCAGGGACATAGGCTGCATCTGTACTCGTGGAAATAAGGGGAGCAGGTGCCCCTGTCCTCGGTGGAAGGGGAAGAAGTGCCTTGGAGTCTGGCCCACTGGTTTCACCTTGGCCCTTCTGCCCTGTGGCTCTGTGGCGTTGGGTCAGCCAGTGAACTTGTCTGAACTGGGCTTTAGACTCCTGGTTCACACTTAGTAGGCAGTACTGGGCACCTGGCTCCTTGTGGAGCGCGTCATCTCATCTGATCTTGACGCCAAGCCCACGAAGAGGAGACACGGGGTGAAGCACCTGCCCTAGGCGGTGGGTGGTGAGGCCGATCCCGACCCCGGCAGCCTGCCCTCCTGCCCGGAGAGGACGGCCTCTCGTCTCTTGGTGGTGGTGGGGGATCAAGATTATGTTCCTGCTGCACCCTGTGCGCGGTCTGCAGTGTGTAGCCTGTGCTTGATGAATGCGAGCTGGCCATTTTTTTAAAAAAATTAATTATTTATTTTTTGGCTGCATTGGGTCTTTGTTGCTGCGCGCGGGCCTTCTCTAGTTGCGGTGAGCAGAGGTTACTCTTCGTTGTGGTGCGCGGGCTTCTCATTGTGGTGGCTTCTCTTGTTGCAGAGCACAGGCTCTAGGCACACGGGCTTCAGTAGTTGTGCCACGTGGGCTCAATAGTTGTGGCTCACGGGCTCTAGAGTGCAGGCTCAGTAGTTGTCGCGCACGGGCTTAGTTGCTCCGCGGCATGTGGGATCTTCCTGGACCAGGGCTTGAACCTGTGTCCCCTGCACTGGCAGGCAGATTCTTAACCACTGTGCCACCAGGGAAGTCCTGCGAATTGGTCTTATTTGATAAGAGGGGACAGTTGAGCTGAGGGAAGGGAGAAGTCTGGGAAGGATTTCCGGAGGAGGTGCTGTTTTTGCTGGGCTCTGGTAGCAGATCTACAGGGGGAAGGCGGGTGGGCAAGGTGGAAGGAAGCACCGTGCAGATCGCACAGATGGCCAGGTTGGGGGAGTCCGTGCTCACCCGGAGGATGGGGAGTCTGGCCCGTTGGCCTGATTGAGGGGTGACAGAACATGAGATGCCCCATAGGTGCAGTTCTGGTTTTTGTTTTTTGTTTTTTTGTTTTTGTCCTGAAGAGTATTTTGTTTGTTTAAACAATTTTCAGTTGCTCACCAACATTTAAGAATCAGGAGTGGTCACAAATGTTTCGGAAGCTCTAGAAGCACTAGGTGGTGGCCGGTGGCTGGGACGGGGCAGAGGCTGCAGTGCTCCCTTCTACTCCTGGGTGGGCCTGCGGCCGTAACAGTAGGTCAGGGTTCTAGGAGTTCCAGAAACTTCTGTCTCTCGTGGAGCAGATGGGGAGTGGTGACTGGGGCTGTGCGTGTCTACCCTGAGCTTACTCTTTTCTGAGCCAGCCCGGCCCTGCTGGGCCCCTGGGAAGGGCTTCAAAGGACCTGAGAGAGGCCAGGTGTGGGAAATAAAGCAGTGTAATAGACTTAGCAGGAGGCAGCCTAATTGAAGGAAAGGGGGAGGAAGCAGAGAGACAGAAGGAAACTGGAGGGGGAGCCTCAGGACCTCGCTCAACCCTGTGTGTCTAAGCATGCTGGAATCCTTGTAGGGAAGAGTGGTCTGCCCAGCTGGCCCCAGACCAGACAGAAAACATCTAAATGGTCAATCCATGGAGGAAACACGGACAGTTGCCACCCAAAAAGGAGTGCAAGATCCTGATGGCATCACAGAGACATTCCCCCAACATTCAAACCACAGGTCTGACGTGGGGAGGGCTCCCGGATCACCTTGGGGGCCCGGGGGGCCCAGACAGATGCAGAGGAGGGAACAGACTGGGTCTTCAGGCCTGGAGTGAGGGGTGAAGAAGCCTACAGAACAGGGAAGTGAGGAAGGAGCTGGATGGGAGATGTAGGGGTGTGCCTGCAGCCCTGGGGGTACTGGGGGGCACCTACCATCCAGGGAGGGCTGAAGAGGGGCTGAGGGTCCGAGGCGGCCCTGTTGAGTCGGTGGTCTGAGAGCTCCAGCCCACTCACCTGCAGGGAGCTGGCGTGCACAGGAGCGGATGCTGGAGATGAGGAGGGCCATCCCAAACAGTGGTGGGTGGTGGCAGCCTTGGAGGGAAGTAGGCCCTGCGCTGGGATGTCGGCGGGGCTTGTTGGGCTAGGGATTTGACATTTGAGCAGACCCTTGAAAGGTGAGAAGGGGCCAGGCAGGTGGAGGACTGGGCCAGGCTCTCTGGCGGGAAAGAGGAGGCCTGGGCGGGAGGTGGGAGTGAGGGGCTGGAGGAGGAAGTGAGTTTGCAAGGGTGACTGGGGCCGATGGGGCCCTGCAGGACCTGCAGAGGAGTCTGGATTTTGGACTGAGTGCAGCGGACACATGTTGCAGGTGGTTCAGGCAGGGGAGTGATGTGAACTGAGCTACCTGAAAAAAAAAAAGTAACAGTTTCATTGTGATGTAATTCCCATGTTGTACAGTTCACTTAACTTAAAGTATACAGTTAACGTATTCACAGGGATGTGCAACCATCACCACGCTGATTTTAGGACTTTCTCATCATCCCCTAAAAGGCTGTGTACCCACTCGTGTCCCCCGGCCCAGAGCCTCTGAGAACCACTGGTCTGTGTTCTGACTGGATTTGCCTGTCCTGGACTTTTCACGTGAGTGGAATCACACACCATGTGGTCTGTGTCTGCCGAGGTCCATCTGTGACGCAGCACTGGTCAGTGCTTCCTTTTCCTGGCTGAGTAATACTCAAGCTACAGATGGACCACGTTTGTGCGTCCATTCACCCGGTGATGGGGGTTTGGGTTGTCTCCACTTTCTGGCTGTTGTGATTTATGCTTCTGTGAACACGTGTGTATAAATTTGGGGGCGGACATGTTTTCATTTCTCTTGGGTACGTGGCCAGAAGTGGAGTTGCTGGATTATACTGTAATTCTGTGTTTAACCTTTTGAGGAGCTGCTAATCTCTTTTCCACAGTGGCTGCACCATTTCACAGTCTCAGCAGCAATGCACGAGGGTTCCAACTTCTCCACACCCTCTCCAACACTTGTGTTTTCTGTTTTTATTATGTCCGTCCCAGTGGGTGTACAGTGGGGTCCCTCTGTGGTTTTGATGAGCATTTCCCTGAGGGCTGATGATGTTGAGCATCTTTTCATGTACTTAACAGCATGCTGTCTTTGGAGAAACCTCTCTTCTGATCCTTTGCCCGTTTTTAGTTGCTTATTTGAACTGAGTGCCTTGAAAAGATGAATTGGTCCGTGGTGTGGGGAATGGACTCTGGAGGGGTGTTTGGCAGGAGTGCGGGGGGTGGGGTGGGGGGGTGGGAGTTGGGAGTTGGGAGAGGAGGGTGGTGAGGATGGCAGGCAGGGGAGAGGGAGCGGGGAGGGAGCTCCGGGAAGGGAGGGAGCGTGTGTGCACACAATGGTGCTGCCTACTGCCCCCGGGGTCAAGGCTGAGAAGTAGCCACTGGATTTGGTGACCAGAAGGTTGTGGGAGTGGCGGTTGGAGGATGGCGGGGGAGGAGGTGGGGGTCACAGCTCAGCCTGACAGTGGAGGGAAAGCAGCTGGAGAGGAGAGAGAGGCACGCGGGGTGAGGGGACAAGTGAGTGGGCCCTCGGGAGGGTCTGGGGCGGAGAGCGAGGACAGGGGGAGCAGGGAGCCGCCAGCAAGCAGAGCTGGGGGAGGAGGACGAGGTGAGATTGGCAGCAGAAGAAAGAGCTGGGTAATTGGTGGGCAGGCATCCAGAGGAGGTGGGCGGGATCTAATAACAACAATAATAACGATAATTTGTCTTACACTTAATAGCCAGCGCTAATTGAATCGCTCAAGGCCCCAGCAGCGGCGTGCCTTCGTCTCTGCAGAGCGGGGGTCCGAGCAGGGTGAGGCTGGGCCGGTACTGTTGAGCGTTTGGGGGGCCGGGGGAGAGTAGGACCCTCTGCTTTTGGCCTCCGGGGCTATCAGAGTCCACAGTCAGGCTGGCTGCGGGAATTGCCCCTTCTCCCCCAGAGAGCCGCCCGGGTCCTGAGAGCAGCTAGCTTAGGGGCTGCCTGAGGCCCTCAGCTCTGGCCGCTCCCCTCTGAGGTCCTGGGGCAGGACCCCAAGCCCCCCGGATCAGGACAAGAGGGCCCAACAGCTGCGTGAGTGGATGAGCGCATGAGTGACTGGCTGGACCGGGGAGGGAGGGACCTGGGTAGGATGGTTTAGTGAACGCCCTCGGCTCTTCACCAGGATTGCGGTTGGCCCCCCAGCACACGCTTCCTGACCTCTCACTCAGCTCCAAGGGTACCTGCTGGTCCCTGTTGCACGGGGGCGGCAGCCGAGGCCCAGAGAGGCTGAGCCGCATGTGCAGGGTCACAGAGTGGAGTGGCCGAGGCACCAGGCTCCAGCCTCCGTGCCAGAAGCCAGGGCAGCACCGCCACCGGGGCCTTTTCCGTGGAGACAGAGGAGATGCCGGGGTGTTCTCACCTCGTGGCTGGTTTTCAGTCTCCCTGGTGGGTGGTGTAACCTCCCTCTGCTCAGGGCTGAAACCGAAATGCAGAGCGGACTGTCCCCGAGTCCCCAGGTGTGCCCTGCGCCAGGCACCCCTGACCAGCAGCGCCAGTGGGAGCCCCTGCCGAGCCCCCAGAAGTCAGCGAGAGAAGCTGCATCTTTCTAGGGCCTCGTAGTAAAGCTCTGCCTCGTCAGGGCTTCCTGCCGTGTCTGGAGTACCATGCAGACGCCTGGCTGGGCCTGCACGGCCCTGCTCTGGCCCCTCTGCCTCTAGTGCCTCATCTACTACCCCAGGGCAGGGCTGGCTCCGTCGTTTTCAGGGCCTGGCATGAAATGAAGAGGTGAGCCCCTTGGGCAAAAAGCAAGAAAAAAGCTTTTCCCTTTCTTCCGAGGTCTCTCAGCCTGTCAGGGTGTTTTTAACTTGGTATTTCGTGTCGCACTCCCCCAGGTACAGGGTTGCCCTCGGGGTGCAGGCCTGGCTCCTGCCCGGGCCCCCGTAGGACCTCCTGTGCAAAACGCGGATCCCGAGATAAGATTAGCAGTAGTCTCAGGGCGGCGACCACAGAGTATTGACCCCCATGCGCTGGGCTCCCTCACCACTGGTGGCCCTGCTGTGGCCCCTGCAGGCACCCCACCTGCCCCTTCCCGCCCTCCATTCCACCATCCAGGACTCAGCCTCCCTCAGGCCCACCTATCCTGTCCCCGCCAGGCTTTTCCTGTGTGTCTGCTTGGCCTGGGACGCTTTCCCCTAAATCCTGGCATCCGTCATTCCTTCGCATCTGGGTCGGCAAACTCTCCTTAATGAGCCAGAGAGTAAACGTTTGAGGGCTTACAGACCAAGAGGCCATGTTGAGGGTATATGTTGACACCTACATACCAGTTAACATGTGACCATTTAAACCCCGTGAGAACCGTTCTTGGTTGGAGGGCAGCTCCCAGGAGGGTCATTGTGTACAGACCCTCCCTTACGTTATCCCGTCTTGGCTCCAGTCTGGCCCATGGAGGGGCCTTTGGCAGTCTGTAGGGGGTGTAGGATTTTCCTCTGCCCTCCTAGGGCTTCCGGCTGGACTGACTAAGGTGGATTAACAGGAGAAAAGCATACGAATTTTATTTCCGTGAGCTTGGGAGCCCTCAGGAGAAAATCGCCGGAGTGCTCCTTATACACCAGGGTGAGCAGGTGCCATGGTGGGGAGTAACCGCGGGACCCGGGGGGATGCAGGAAGGAAGGTCATTTTAGCAGGTCTCTCTCGGGATGTTTCTTCTTCCTGGAGCCGGGAGGGCACTTTCACGTGCCCCCTGCTTTCAGGGGAGAAGGTGCGTTCAGAGCGTCCTTGTTGCACCTGCTGTTTTCCGACTGCCCTGAATTCGGGGTCATCAGTGTGGTAAAGCAGCCTATCAAGGTGGAAGTTCTGCATCTCACGTCCTGGTTCAAGAGCAGCCCCTTCCCCTCCATGCCCAGCCTCACTTTCCTGCTGGCTCTTCCCACCATGGAAATCGGGGTGTTGGTTCCCTCACTGCCTTGTTCTGGGCAGCGTGGCTCCCGGTGCTCAGTAAGCACCTCTGGGTGCAGGGAAATCTCTGGTGCAGGGCTGGCCGCTGTCACCTCCCTGTCCTCCGTCCCTTCCCCCAGAGCCTGAGGGTTCCCTGGAAGGAGGATGGAGGCCAGCCCAGGCCTTGTCGCTGCAGGAAGCTGGCCTGAGGTGGACGCTCGAGGCCGGGAAGTCCCTGCTTTATTGACTTATATGTGATTGTTCCAGTGGCAGCACATGATAACCGCCTGGCAAACGAGTTTCAACCCAGAAGCCACAGAGGAGCGGCCTCTGTCCGTCCCACCTCCTCAGCCCCCGAGCCCTTGGCCTCTCTTCCTTTTCTTTCTCTTGTGTGTTTCTGTTGTTGCTGGGGTTTGAATAAGAGGGCCCCGTACGAATTCTTAGGTCTTTTTACTTTTTAATTGAGACATAAGTCACATATTGCAAAGTTCGCCCTCGTAAAGTGTACAGTTTAGTGGTTTTTTAATATAGTCACAGAGTTGTGCAACCATCACCACTGTCTGATTCCAGAACATTTTCATCGCTCCAAAAAACCCCGTGCCAGTGCGCGATCCCTCCCCATCCCACCCCCAGGCTGGCAGCCGCTTATCTCGGCCTGGATGGTTCACATCCCGGAGCCGCGCTCTGAGTGGCCTTGTGTGCTGGCGGCTTCCCCGGGCGTTGGAGTTGTCACCCCTTGTTGGCTGTCACGCACAGCACTGCTGTGAATAACACTTAGGAGTGGGGTCCTGGGGTCACACAGTGACTTCGTCATTATCAGGACGTGCCAGGCTCTCTTCACAGCGGCTGCCCTACTGGCACACCCGCCCGCCGTGCAGTTTTCACGTTTACCTGTGATCTGAGGGCCCGCACAGTTCTCTCTCCCCAACACCCCGATTTCCCTGTTGTGATACATAGGCCTTGTCACCAGAAAGAAGCCAACCTTTAGTCTTTTCCCCTCGTTACACAAGTAATTATCCATTAATGTAAAAAAAATTGAGAAGGTGAAGGTAAAGGAGAAGAAAATGTTAAGATGGCTCTTCCTGTTATAGGCTGGGGGGGCGGGGGCGGGGCGGCCACTTTACAGCGTTGTTTCAGAGGCTGTGAGATGTCCGTAGACCCGCTTCCCATGGTCTGTGATCTTATTGCACTTTCTCCCACCACGGGGCTGGCGGGTTCTTTCCGGTTCTTACCCTGTTCTAAATCTTGCTGTGGCAGACCCTGCAGGAAGCATTTTCCGAGGTTTGGGTTTTCCCCGCAGATTAGCTTATGAAGTGGGCTTCCCCGGGCAGGGGCCGTGAGCTCCACAGCGGCATCACCTGACTGGGCCCTGGTCACCCGATGGGTCCGAGGGCCGGTTTGTCCTTCCGGTATGGGTCTCACCACTTCCTGCAGTGGGTCCTAGAAGGGGGGTGGTCGTGGGGGTCGGATTTGGGGTGCACTGCGTTCCGTCCCTCGAGCCTCTGCTCTGTTAGTTGGCCTGTCACCCACCCGTTGGCAGCACATGTCTGTGCCTGGTGCTGTCGTGGGGCCCCCGGAGGGTCTCGGCAGGGCCCTGGAGGCCGGGTACATCCCCTGCCCCGTGACCTGCAGCGAGGCCGTGGGCCCGGGAGGGAGGCAGGGCAGCGTCCTCCTCTGTCCCCCGGCTGCCAGGGTCCTGGGAGTCGTCTCAGCCCTGAGCCCCGCACCACCAGCGCTGAGTAACTCCTGGCTGCTGTCCAGGTGCTCCCTGCTGTTGCTGCAGGGGACCCGGGATCTGGCCCCGCTGCGTCCCAGATACAGTGACGGGAAGCTGCCTTGGTTTTGTCATCAGCCCTGCCGTGGCCTCCAACCAGAGCTTGTCCGCCTCACCACCGGCCTCACCTCTCGCCACTGGCTCCATTCCCGTGAGCTGCCTGGTTCAGGCTCCCACCTTCTCGTCAGATTTCGGCAATTCTTGCATGCTTGGTGGGGGTGTCTCCCTCTTCGTGTCCCGACGGTCTGCTCACTGCCGGGTCCAGGGGGTGCTTGGGCAGCTCCGCCCAGAGGTGGCCCAGGCCGCGACAGGCCTCTTTGAGGGGCGCCTCCCTCCCTGGCCTCCTGGCTTGTCTTGCCCTTGGATTGCGCCCCTGCTCTTAGAGTCCTTGTGACCATTTGTTGAGTGTCAGGATGGCGGAGCGGGTGAGCCACGCGGCCTGTGTCCCTCCTCTGCTCCTGGGCGCTTCCACCTCTGTGCCCTGACCCGGGGGGTGGGGGTGGTGGTCACGTGGGGCACTTGGGCGCAGGTTAATGTAGGGCTGCGTCTGACTGTGGGACCTGGGCCCGTCTTCCCTCCTGGCCCGCGAGCTCTGCGGCAGGCCTGGCCTCTCCGGTTACTGCCCGTCTCCTGGTCTCAGGACTCCGTGAGTGAGCGCTCGGGAGAGCCAGGCCCAGACCCTGAGCGGCAGCTCCGCTGGTTCTGGGCACAGACTTGGAGCCGGGACAGTCTGCCTTAACGTCCCGGCTCTGCCGCCCCTGCCTCGGAATCCTCACGGCTGGGGGTGACGGTCGCGTCTGCCCAGAGGGTTGCATCAACCACTGAGAACAGTACCTGGGGGCTTGTGAGCGACTTGCTCGGCACAGCCGCGTGTGTTTATTACTTAACTAAACAGGCCGGTTAAACAGGCCAGTTCTCTGAGCTTCTGGCAGATGTCAGCAGAGGTTACTGAGGGGCGGGCCATGGAACGGGCTCCTTTCCGTGCCTGGATGGTGGTGAGCCCCTTGTTACTGGGGGATTCAAGAGAAATGGGTCAGGCTTGTTGTGCCAGGGTGTGTGATGCTTGGGGCTGGATGGCTCCGTTCCCAGATGCCAGTTCCCCCAACTGGAGTGGGGGACAGAAGGACTGTGTGGGGAGAGGTTCTCTGAGCTGTGTGCATGCAGACAGACGGGCCTTGGTTTGCACCTGAAGGGGCCTGAACACGAGAGGAGGAACCGAGGCGCCGCCCCGGGTCCCAGTCGGTGTGCCCCTTCTTGTCAGAAGGCCTGCCTGCCTGCCAGCGTCCTGCTGGAGAGGGATGTCACACCAAGGAGCAGGGCCCAGAGGGGACCGGAATGCCGTGGCCCCAGTACCAGGCTCTGCTGCCGGGGCTGGGTGCCTGCCCACACCCCCCCGCCCTGCACACTGAGTCCAAGATGCAGGCAGACCCCTGCCGGCTCCGCACCTCTGCGCAGCCTGGAGCCCAGACCTGGCAGCTCCTGCCCTGCCCACCCTGCAGGGGCCAGAGCGGGAAGGGGAGGAAGGCTGAGCTGTGAGCCCCAAGGGCCAGATTCTGCTGTGGCATTGCCCCGGGCAGCGGCGGGGAGTGGAAGTGTGGGCTCTGGAGGCAGGCCACACAGTATGTGAGGGACGTGCACGCCAGTGTCCACAGCAGCCGTGCTCACTTTAGCCAAAGGGGAAACACCCAGGCTCTGTCTGTCACCCAAAGAACAGAGAAACAAACAACATGTGGTCTGTCCCTGCAGGGGAGCATTACTCAGCCGTGAAAAGGAAGGAAATTTTGACACGCTGCTCCGTGGGTGAGCCTTGAGAGCGTGCCACTCAGCGAGAGAAGCCAGACGCCAGAGGCCACGTGCTGTGTGATGCCATTCATAAGAAACGTCCAGGGTTAGGGCGAGTGGTGGCCAGGGGCTGGGACCAGAGCGGCCGGCCTCTCTTGCCCCGGCCCCAGCTGGTCAGCGGTGGAGCTGGGATGCTAGCCCCGGCCAGGTGGCCGCAGCCGGAGCACTTCCTCCTCACCCAGGTTGCGTGTGGCCTCGGGCTGGACCCCTGTCCAGTGGGGGAGCAGAGGGCCATCTCTCCCTTGGCCCTTAAGTCCCCGCTGCCACGCACCTCCTGTCTGCTGGGCCTGAGCCGGGCGCTTGGAGCCCACATAGCACCTGTCCCCCCACCCCGGGGCCCTCCGTCCAGTCTGGCGTCCTGTAAACTCTGTCCTCTGTCTCGTCCCCTTCTAACAGGGACCCAGACATGGAGCTGCGGGAAGAGGCGTGGTCTCCGGGGCCGTTGGATTCTGAGGACCAGCAGATGGCCAGCCATGAGAACCCAGGTGAGGCGGCCTTGAGGAGTTCTTCCCAGCTGGTCCCTCACCCTTCCCTGGACCCTCGCTTCCTTTGTCTCCCCTTCCCCTCCCGTGGCTCGGGGCTCACCATCCTTCCTCTGGGGGCTCAGCCAGGCTGCCTCCCGGGCCTGTGTGGAGTCTCCGAGTTCCCTCCCAGCTGGGAGCCCCTGGGGGCTGCCCCCTCCCCTCGCTGGGTGCTCGGCACCGTTTCTAGGTGGCCCCTTGGACCTCCTGGGCGGGATGCTCTTTAGACCAGGGTGGCAGGCCCACATACCGGTGGGCCAGGACGTGGAGAGCTGGGGACAAACTGTGATGTGTGGGAAGCGGCAGGCTCACAGAGCAGGGCCAGTGACCATCCTGGGGGACAGCTGGGTGTCTGGGTTTTTATGGGGCTTGTGTCTTTCTGGGGTTTTATCTGTCACTCTTTAAATGTTGGCCACATGTTTTGTTTGACAAAGCGTTATTTGGGTTGAATAAAACTCATCTTGGAGCCCTCGGGGACTAGGCTTTGCTTGCTGAGACCCCACCTGGCCCCGCTGGCCCCTTCACGGCCTCACCCCTTGCCCTCTGGTGAAGATGTGCTCCCCGTTTCCGGGGGTTTTCATGCAGGGCACCTGAGAAATAAAGTATGAGCTCTTTTTCATGCTGCTTTTGATGCGTCTTCATGCGGGCATCCCGTCCTCGTGCGTTTTGGACGGGGTCAGCCAGCATTTCTTGCTGTGAGGGGGCAGAGGGGAGGTGTTTTCGGCATTGTAGGCCTTGTGCCCCTGCAGCGTGGAAGTGAATGGGCGCGACCACCTTATTTATAGAACAGGTTCTGAGGTCGTGATCCCGGTGCCAGCGTGTCATAGTCGTCCAAGAGAGGTTACGAGGGCCTGGGTGGGCTGGGGATAGATTGCATAAAGCACTCGAGCCCCTTCGCCTGATCTAGTTCTAAGATCCACTGAGGGGGTGAGGGAAGCTCCTTGGGCTGGCTCCGGGCAGCCGTGGTTACACAGGAGGAAACAGATTTCAGGGCACATGGCACGTGGGGCGCAGACCCTCCACCACCCAGCAGGAGGGCGCACGGCCCATCCTTCCCCATTTCATGCTGTCGGGCCTGCCCCTTCCTCCTTTCCCTGTCTTTTAGCCTTTTTAAAATTAATTTACAGTCTGTTTCATGCTGGAAATTGCAAACATCGATAGTGTGGTGATTGCACTTCCCACTGCCTAGCCTTAGCGGTGAGCAGTACTTTGCGGTCTTTTCCCTGGTTGTGCCTGCTTTTTCTTCTGGAGAATTTTAAAGAAAATCCCAGATATTGTATCATTTCACCTACAGATTCTCCAGCAATAACAAACGCTCATCTCACCTGACGAAGCGTTGCCCAGTGTGTGAAGGTGTCCCCAGCTGTCTCCAAAATGCATGTTTGCCTTGAAGTAAGGTGGTTTTAACTTTACACTCCGTCCACTAACTCATTCTCTTGAGGAAACCTCTACAAAGCACAAGTGGGTTCTCATATCCCCTTTGTCCGTCCTGCTGTCCCCGACCCAACCCCCCACCGGAGTCTGTTGCAAGTCTGCTCCGGCTCCTCCCTGCGTGGTACCCCCAACCGCGTGACACCCCTTCGCTCAGCTTGTAAGCCGTGTGGCCCGGATGCCTCCAAGCTGCCGTGCGTCCCCTGGTTCTGGGCCTGCCCTGTTGGGTCCTACCTCTGTGGCAGCCTCCTGTGATGGGACAGGGCCGGACCCCTGCCCTGAGACGCCCCCCGCCAACCCCCAGCTGATGCCTGGACACAGGAGCAGGAGGCTTGGGCTGGCGGTAGCCCCTGTAGGCTGTTTCCCTGTTGGGTCGGGACTAGGGGTCCATGAGCAGGGCTGTGAGCGCTTCCTGTGTGCCCCGAGCTTGAGGCCAGCCACCTCGGGCAGGCCCTCTCATGGAATCCTCACACCCTTCGAGCTCGGGGTGCTGATCAGAGGGTGCTGGGCAGAGAGAGGCCAGGCCACCACCCAGGGTGAGGCAGCCGGGAGCCAGTGGAAGGGGCCTGGGGGCCTGGACTGTCCGTAGGCTGCAGCCAGAGTCTGTTGTGCTGCCTCGCTGGCGCACTGACCCCGGCCCACCGCCTGCAGGTGCGAGAGCTGTCCAGGCTCGGCCTGGGGCCTTAGCTACAGGGTGTTCAGAAAGAGAAGCCATCCAAAAATGAATAATAAAGAGACATCCCAATTCTGAGGTGGGAAAGAGTCTTCAGCTGATGTGTTGGAAATCACCCACCAGGGACAGGGTCCCGGCCTCCCGCTCTCACGCCCGCCTCTCACGTCTCACTCAGTGCCCTCCAGAATGACCCCGCAGAGTTCACCGCAAATGCCACGTCTGAGCCGGATGACAGCAGACCCACGTAAAAACACAGCAACTGCCTGTGGGCAAAACCCATGTTCCCGGGTCACACTGGCAGCACACCTTAGGTGCAAAGCCCCAAAATACAGCTGGATGGGGACAAGCCAGCAGCCGGGGCAGTGTGGTGTTAGCAGGGGCAGGAGGGGAGGACGCCCCAGGTAACCCTCGGGGGTTCACCGGAGGACTTGGGGCTGGTCACGCTGCGGCCAGCAACTGAAGCTGGAGGGGTTCTGTCCAGACCAGGAGCAGGGAGCGCGGGGCTGCTGGGGCCCATGGCTTCCTTTACCCAGGTAAAGTGCCCTGCCCTGGCAGGACCCACGCAGAGCAGAGCCCGTCAGGAGGGGGTTCAGGATCGAGTGGGACCCCTGTCATTGGCCACAAGGGAGAAGGGAAGGTCCAGATAAAATCAGGGGTGGCCGCAGAGCAGGCAGCCCTGCACTCGGAAGAGGGAGCCCTGAGGAGCCAGAAACGCTGTCCAGAGTGTAGCCTCCCAGAAGTTCAGGGAGACTGACCACAGAAATGAGCAAAACTGGAAAATGGTGAGTTCAGTCCTCTTGCTTCCACCCCCCAGGAAGCTATTAGAATAAAAAAGAAGAGGGGCAAATAGTATCTCCACAGACAGGGAGGGTGGTCAGAGATACACCTGCAGACAGGTCAGGATTGTTCAGAGTGGCCAGGAGATGACGGCCCCTGGAAGTGCAAGATCAGAACAGCTCATCCCAGGGGGCAGAACTAAGCAGAGAATTAGAAACAGAGTCAAATTAATTTCAAAGTGAAGTAGGAGGAATTCGAGACTGAATAAAAATAACACATTGTTCCTTAAGAAAAATCGAAGGTGAAAAAGAGGGCCATTTTAAAATCAAAAAGAAATGAGTAAAGATTAAGGCAGAGTAAAAAAAAAAACAGGTACTGAAGTTAGGTAAAGAAAGCCCTTTGAAGAAGAAATCCAAAGGAATATAATGGTAAAAACTACGAGTCCAGAAAACATTCCTGAAATGTCAGAGTTAGGTATTGAAGGAGCAAATCACAGATCTGAGAATATCAACTCGGATGAACAAGGCATATTCTATTCAAGTCACTGGGCTTTAAAGGAAGAAGCAAATCCTTTGGGGCATCTAGGCAAAAAGAGCAAATGACTTACAAGGCAAAGTAGATGGGATTGCTGTCAGACTTCGCCAGCAGTGCTTTATGCCAGGAGAAAATGGAGTCATATTTATGATTCTCAGGGGAAGGAAAGGTAGAGCTAAGAATCGTATTCAGGAAGACTGCCTTCCACGTTGGAAGGGCGCAGATGACCTCAGCCAGCAGGAGCTGAGCAAACAGGGTTGTCGTGGGGCCTTCCCGAGGAGTCTGCGGGCAAGTGAGCCTTGCGCAGCCCCCGTGGCCAGAGAGATGGGCGCTGAGCCGGGGCAGGCTCCACGAGGGCTCAGGCGGTGGAGGTCTGGCAGTGAAATCAGTGAGGGGAACAGGAATAGTTCACCTGATTTCTCAGGAATGGTACTTGGCAGTGGTGGGGGTGATTCTAACCGTTCAAGTTAGAATGCTTATCGTGAAGCTGTGTGATGTGGGTTCAGCAAATAAGCAGTTATGGGCTAGTCAAGTCCTCTCCTCCCCTAGTGAGGAACAGAGATGCAGATGTCCTAGAAACGACCGCATAAAAGCCTTTTGGCCTGAATTTGTATGGGAAGTATCAGAAGTCACAGGAATTTTATCTTAAAAAAAAAAAAAAGTGAAGATCATTTCCACGTTTTGGTTTTGAAATTGTTTCCCACGAAAAGAAACCAGAGTCCCTTGGAGAAACGGCCAGTTGCAGGTTTGGGGTGGGAAGTATGGATGAACCTGTAGCCCCTTGTTAGGCTGGATGGCAGAGAATCTGTCAAAGACCACTGGGTCCCGTCCAGAGGACTCGGAGCTCACTTGAGGCTCCCACGCGCTGAAGATGGCAGGCAGTGCAGCCTACCGGATATATTTAAATCCGTGATCTCCTAATGATGTTAAGAAAGGAAAGACTATGTGGTTACCTTGGAGGGTGGTAGGGAACCAGTTCGTAACCTGGAAAACTGGGCAGGTAAGGGGAAATGAGATTCATCCTGCCATAACCACATGAAATTTACCACTGGATACCAACCAACAGATGATGTAGAGTCTCTAAAAGCTATTCCAGCTCCTAAACGCAGGAGAAACCACAGAGCAGCCCCATTTTGCACCCCTCGACGAATCAGCAGACCTAAGCGTTGAGCATCGGTGGCCCTTGATATCACAAAAAGAGAAACACGAGATATCGGGTGCCTTCAGTGAAAGAACAGGATTGCACCTTCAGAATGACTTCAGGGGCCGGCGGGGCTGGGTGAGCCAGCTGCTAACCGGCAGCAGATGCAGGGCACCAGGAGCATGCAGTCAGCAAGGGTCCAACTGGCCTTAGGGCTCCACTTCTTAAAAGGAAAATCGTAAGGAAAAGCAAGAGATGGAGGAAGTCGTGTCTTACAGGAGACTTAAAGACATACTGAAGTAGGGCTTCCCTGGTGGCGCAGTGGTTGAGAGTCCGCCTGCCGATGCAGGGGACATGGGTTCATGCCCCGGTCCGGGAGGATCCCACATGCCGCGGAGCGGCTGGGCCCGTGAGCCATGGCCGCTGAGCCTGCGCGTCCGGAGCCTGTGCTCCGCGCAACGAGAGAGGCCGCGGCGGTGAGAGGCCCGCATACCGCAAAAAAAAAAAAAAAAAGACATACTGAAAAAGTAACGGACCGAACTGTAATGTCTGGGATGTTGCACTTGGGTGACAACCGTACAGAGATGCAAGGGAACGATTACTGCACAGGTCAGGATGGTGGTTATATTTGGGGTTGAGAGGGGGTGAGCTTGGGAAGGGCACGGAGGGACTCCCGGTGGGTGGCCAAGACCTGTATCTTGACGGGGCATTTGTCTTTCTGCATTGATTGTGGTCAGCTCTGCATTCCGGGCTCTCTGCATGTCGTGTGTTTTAGGGGAAAAAGGTTAACATCCGGTAAAGCCGCAGGTCCTGCCCTTCCCCAGAAGGTCTGCTTGGGAGGATCCACCCTGGGGCGGGAAGCTGCGTGGGCGGCAGGACCCTGCCTGGGCCCAGAGCGCAGGAGCCGGAGCTGAGCCCTCCTTCAGCGAGAGAAGGACAATGACAGTTGCTGTGGGATGACGGGACCTGGAGCCTGGGACACCCCTCCCCTTCCCTTCGGGAATGGCGATCACTCGTCATTTCTGTGCTTTTGATTGAGTGAGCCCTTTGTGCTGGTCGCTGTCCTCTCCGCTTTCCGGGAATTCTTGCATCCTTTTAAAGATGACGTTTGTGAGGCAGTGAAGTTGCCCCCATGAGGAAGGCGGCCCAGAGGGAAGCCGCTGACTTCCAGCCTGACCTGGAGGGGTGCAGACTCAGACTCTGGTGTGCGTGAGAGCCGCCCGCTGCTTGGAGAGCGCCGGTCCCTGCACCCACTCGCAGGGGGAGCCAGGAATCCGAAGGTTGAGAGAGAACCCCGCCTCCCGAAATGATTAGACCCTTTTCCATTCAACAGCTTAACACCTGCTTAAAAAGTAGTGAGTGGGGGAAACAGAACGCAGCAGCGGAGAGAAGGGTCAGGTAGCCCAAGGCTACAGAGGAAGCCTGCACCCGCTGCACGCACCTCACTGCCCAGCCGGCTCCTCGGGCCTTCTCTCCCTGTTTCTGGACCTGGACGGGTGGTCGGCCCCTCGCCAACCGCCCCCCCCACCCGCATCCAGGGCCCCGGATTGAGTTACAGGTGTTTCACAAGTTCAGATGGGCTGTGTTCAGTTCCTGTCATCATGATTGTAAATACTCTTCATCGCTGAGTCAGGCGGCATATTGTTAAACTTTCTTGACAACTTTGAAAACAAGACGTTTATTTCAATCAAAGGAGTGCAGAATACTTGCTATGGGTCAGGTGGTGCGGCTCATTTCCCGCAAAGAGCAAGTCTCCTTTCCAGCCCAGCCCAGTCCACCCCTGCTGCCCGGACACACTGCTCAGAGGCAGACAGCTCCCCAAGGTTCAGTTTTTTATTCTTGAATATCTCCACATAATGTGCTTATGACTCTATTGCTTTTTCTTTCTTTTGGCTGTGCCTGATGGCTTGCGGGATGTTAGTTCCCTAACCAGGGATCGAACTGGGGCCCGTGGCAGTGGACGCCTGGAGTCCTAACCACTGGACGGCCAGGGAATCCCCATGATGCCACTTCTTGATGTTGACACCAAAGTGGGCCCTGTGTCATCTCTTGAAAAGCGGCCCCCACCCGGCCCAGACTTCCTACCTGGATTTTTTTTTTTCCTGCTCCATATATGATTCTATATCCCATTACCCTTTCCAGTACAGGCGGTCTTGGGACCCAGACTACCCGTGCAGATACTGCTTTGCTGCTCCCAGGCCGTGTAGCCTTGGGCGGTGGTTCATCTTCCTGGTGCCTTGGTGTTCTCACCTGTAAAGACCCGAGTTCCATGGAGCCCACCTTACAAGACTTAAACGCATGGATGCTTATGAAGTGCATGGGACCACTGTCTCAGGACAGTTGGAGCACTTTGTTCCCGGCCAGGTGCTGGAACACAGGGATCGGGCCGCTGTCCTTGTGGGCTTGCAGGCTAGTGAGAGGGAGAGGGAAAACAATGTTTGGTAGGTTATAATAGGATTCACCTTTGAAAGACACCTTCGCGTTGCACCTAGGGGCGGGGCCAGGGGCGGGAGGGCGGGGCTGTGATCAGGGGGCGGGGCCGGAACCCAGGCACGAGTCCGCGCTCGAGCACGTGCCCCACCTCCATTCTGTAACTCAGGCCCAAGCCGGACAGGGAAAGCAAATGTCGCCAAGGGTGCACACAGAGCAGGCCAAGCGTGCACACAGAACAGTCTCGGAGAGCTGGGCAGGCTGCGGGGAGGGGGCAGGCTCTCGTCTCTCCCGGGAGGCCGGCCGCTCAGGCCAGGCGCGGCGTAATTGTGTTAGAGGCTTTGTTGGGCAGATGGCCCGTGGTGGTGTCCTCAGTTTGCAGACGCCAGGACCAAGGCCCCACGCTCCTTTCTTGTTTGCACTGGGCATACAGTACCTACAAACCCAGGGACCAGGGTGAGGAAGTCTGTAATAGAGGCTGCGGTGTTCGGAGGTTGCACTCCCAGTTAATGGAGGGTCAGGACTTCCGTGCGGCCTGTGATCCCATTAACCAGTCCGGTGACCCCTTGCTCTTCTCTCTTCTCCACCCGCAGCCAGGATTATCTTCCGAGAGCCCAGATGTGACACCATCGTTTCCCGCTTGTACACCCACAGGGTGCTGCAAGCCCTTGTCCCTGGGCTAAGGTGGAAACCGCGCTGCGGCTGCCTTCCGGTCTGGCGGGGACGCGCTCTGCTGGCCCCCAGCCTGGGGCCTGGGCTTCGGGAGGCATTCTTTACTAGGAGCCTTCCCTAGACCTCCATCCCGTACCCCCGTTGGTTTCTGTTGTTTCCTTTAGCAGACATTTCTGGCGTCCCTACTAAGTCCCGGGCATTGTTCTAGATGCTGGGGAAACGGCCGTGAAGGAAGGAAGAGTCCTAAGGGATGGGTAATGAATGTTTAGTAAAATGCCGGGGCGTGTTCGATGCCCTGAGGACAGACACTAGGAGGGGTGAGGGGAAGGGGACCGATGGGAGGGACGTCTGACCAGGGCCAGGTCCGTGAGGAGGGCTCCGCACTGGCAGGGCCCAATTGCCCTCTGAGGGAGGTTCTGCCACCGCCCCCGTTATAGGGAAGCCTGGGAGGGCGCACAGGTGAGCGAGGTTCCCGGGGGCACGCAGAGCAGCAGGTGGAGGGGCCCCAGGCCGCCCTCGCACGTAGGCTCTCTGACTCCCTCCTCTCCCCTCTTGCCTTCCAGTGGACATCCTCATCATGGATGACGACGACGTCCCCAGCTGGCCCCCAACCAAGCTGTCCCCGCCCCAGTCGGCGCCCCCGGCTGGTCCCCCGCCCCGGCCGCGGCCGCCCGCCCCCTACATCTGCAACGAATGCGGCAAGAGCTTCAGCCACTGGTCCAAGCTGACGCGGCACCAGCGCACACACACGGGCGAGCGGCCCAACGCCTGCAGCGACTGCGGCAAGACCTTCTCGCAGAGCTCGCACCTGGTGCAGCACCGGCGCATCCACACGGGCGAGAAGCCCTACGCCTGCTCCGAGTGCGGCAAGCGCTTCAGCTGGAGCTCCAACCTCATGCAGCACCAGCGCATCCACACGGGCGAGAAGCCCTACGCCTGCCCCGACTGCGGCCGCAGCTTCACGCAGAGCAAGAGCCTGGCCAAGCACCGGCGCTCGCACAGCGGCCTCAAGCCCTTCGTGTGCCCGCGCTGCGGCCGCGGCTTCAGCCAGCCCAAGAGCCTGGCGCGCCACCTGCGGCTGCACCCGGAGCTGTCGGGGCCTGGCGTGGCGGCCAAGGTGCTGGCGGCCAGCGTGCGCCGGGCCAAGGCACCCGAGGAGGCGGCGGCGGCGGACGGCGAGATCGCCATCCCGGTGGGCGACGGCGAGGGGATCATCGTGGTGGGAGCGCCGGGCGAGGGGGCCGCGGCGGCCGCAGCCATGGCGGGCACGGGGACCAAGGCGCCGGGACCCCGCTCGCGGCGCGCCCCGGCCCCCAAGCCGTACGTGTGCGTGGAGTGCGGGAAGGGCTTCGGGCACGGGGCCGGGCTTCTGGCCCACCAGCGCGCCCAGCACGGGGACGGGCTCGGGGCGGCGGGGGGCGAGGAGCCCGCGCACATCTGCGTGGAGTGCGGCGAGGGCTTCGTGCAGGGCGCGGCGCTGCGGAGACACAAGAAGGTCCACGCCGTGGGCGCGCCCTCCGTCTGCAGCCGCTGCGGACAGAGCTACTACCGGGCAGGCGGGGAGGACGACGACGACGACGACGACGAAGCGGCGGGCGGGCGGTGCAGCGAGTGCCGTGGCGGGGAGGGCCGGTAGGGGCGGGGGCCCGGGGGGGCAGGGCCCCTCGGGCTTGGCGGGGACGACGGCGCAGGACCCAGAGACCCGGGGAGAAACGGACAGAGGGCTGCCCCGGACCGGCGGCGCGCTCTACCCCCTCCCCTCCCGCGGCCTGTGCGGCCTGAGAGGTGCGGCGGGCCTGGGGCGGGACACTGGGGACGCTCACCGGGCCGCCCGGCCCCTCCCCGCGCCCGGCCCTCGGCCTGGCCTGACCCTTGTAGGTTCTCGGCCGAGCCCGAATCAAGACGTGTGAGAACTAGAGAGACCAAGATACGACAAAACCCACGAGCGAAAGACCATTTTCCCTCTTTCTCTTCCCCACCAACGGGGGGTGTTGAGAAGATGCCGAACATTGGGACCTTTCCACTCGGAGGGGCCCCAGAGAGGGAAGGGAAAGAGGGGTCCTTTTCCCTTTTAGAATTTTCTTTATAATCATATCCCCTTCCTGACCCCGCCTACCTATTATTTTCTCTCTTCTTCGCGGGTCCCATCCTTTTTCCTCGCCCTAGTCCTTCCTTCCCCTCCTGGATCTGGGGTAGCAGAGAAGTGCTGGAGCGGAACTAGCCCCTGTCCCAGGCGCACCCCGCAGAAAACGGGTTCCCGTCTCATCCCAGGCCTGGGCACGGTTGGAGGAGGGGTGCGGGGGGCAATAAATCGCACTATCCAATTGTCCCTGCTGTGCGTGTTTCTTGAGTTCGGGTAAACGGAGGGCTCTGCACCGGGCAGTTGCTGCTGAGGGGGTACTGACCACGGGCCAGGCCCGTGGAGAGAGGCTGCCGGCTCGGCCCGCACTCGCGCCCGGGTGCAGACTGGGCGGTTGTCCTGGAAGAGTGACCGGCCAGGTCACCGGCAGCGGGTTCTGGGCCCCAGCGGAGTGGCCGTCAAGTATCCAGGCTGGAGGATGGGCAGGCCTGTGAGGAACTGGGGCGGTTGTTCAGAGTAAGGCCCACCCACTGCTGCTTTTGAAAGGAATCTCACCGTCTGGAGCTGCAGGTGGGAGTTGCACAGGCCGTGCCTCACCTCACAGTGGAGGGCAGCCTCCCCCCACGCAGTAAATGAGCCCATGCTCCCGTCTGGGCGTCCTCCCCCAGCCCCTGCAGCCCCTTCCTGCATCCAGCTCTTGGAAGACTTGGCCTGGATGTTGCACCTGTGTCCGCCTGCCTGCTCAGATCCCATCGGGGGAGCAGGGGACAGTCACGGGGTCACATGTCACTGCAGAGGAGGCTGGAAGTGTCCCTGGCCTGCCACTGCTTCCTAGCAACAAAACTATCCTAGAGGCGGGAGATGGACTCTGGTGAGTGGGTGGATACCTGCCTGCCCCCAGGGCCCCACTGGAGGAGCCAGCCAGGGGTCTGGCGGGAAGACAAGGGTGGGCAGTTGCTTTCTGGTGTTTCTTGTGTTCTAGGCGCTGTGCTACTTGGCAGATGGACCTGGTCCTGCAGCATCATCGCAGCAGTCCTGGGACGTTGAGGACTGCTAGCAGGTCAGTCCTCAGGGTGGGGCCCAATGATGCCAATTCCAGTGTCCTGGGACCCTCAGCTGGAGTCCTGGGGACCACGTCCCCGGGATCTTCAGGGGTTATTTCCAGCCTGGCCAAATGCCGTGGCTGGACTCAACGTTCCTTTTACCTCTGCAGAAAGAGAGAGGAGTTTACCAGCAGAAGGGGAGCTAAAGGAGGAAGGAGGGTTTCTACCTTGAGCCCTGAATCTCCCCCTGGTGCTTTGCTGCCCTTGAGCAGATCCTGCCCCCACCCACCTCAGGGCCTCAGGTTCTCACCTGGTGAACCAGGGGCTCAAAACTGAGGTCACGCATGGCCATCTGGTGGGCAGAGACGTGACTCCCCAGGAGGATATATTAGAACATCTTGGGTGCGATCGTAGGTCAGAGAACCCTGTTCTCAAGTGGCCATCGCCTCGCTTGGAAGTTGGTTGAGGCGGTTCAGTTTGAGATCTCAGACCCCTCCAAAGGAGGGAGGGGTGACGCTGTTGTTTGTCCAGAGCGGGCTTGGGTAAACAAAGGCTGAGAACACATTGCCCATTGCCCGCAGTCCCTTCCCTCTCATCCAGCGCTGCCCTTGGGCGCTTCCGGAGGTGGGGGAGGGAGGGAGGGAGGAGTCGTGCCTGGTGGGTGGAAGGGACGTGCCCCGTCACTTGGGTTGAAGTAAGGGCTTGGGTTGAGTCATTCTCTCCCTACCCCTGGGGCAAGAAAGATTCTGGGCCAGTTTCCACGGTGTCGCATATAGGCTGTGTGACTCTGGGCAAGTGAGCTAGTCCCTCTCACCCTCGGCTTCCTCCTCTGTGCAGAGAAGATCTTGCCTGTCTCGACTGTCTCAAGGGATCCCTGGGAGTGTCTGTAAGTGCCTGGTCCTTGGTCACTGATAGCTAATTCCTGTCCCGGGAAGGCACCTAATGCAGGGGTGAGGAACCAGGGTTCAAATCCCTGTTCTGCCAACAGGTGCCGCTTACCCTCTCCAGGCCTTGTATGCACTCACCTCCTGAAGGACATCTTGGTTGCTTCCAAGTTTTGGCAGCTATACCTTTGGGTCTAGGAAACAGCTGTCCTCCTACGAGGGAAACGAGAAGTGGCCACACCCTCAGCATTACACGCCGATGTGGGCTTGCCAGGGAAGCAGTTCTGTCCCGCGGGGTGTGGCGGTGCTTCCGAGGGAGGTTTCTCTGTTTAACGTAGAGTGGCAGTTCTCGGGTGGTGGTGAGTGTGCCCCAAAGGTAGCGTCTGGCGATGTCTGGAGCCGTTTTTAGTTCTCAGGACCGGAGGTGGGTTGCACCTGGCATCTAGTTGGTAAACGCCAGGGATGCTGCTCGATGCCCTACCGTGCACAGGACAGCCCCCTTGCCCACCACAAAGGATTATCCTGCCCCAAAGTTCGACAGTGCTGAGGATGAAACACCTGCCCTGGGGACGTGTGAGCCTCCTTTCTGGGTGACGCTCTACCGCCACCTAGTGAGCTCCAGGGGAGGTTCAAGGGAATGGCAGGGAGGTGGGTTGAGATCCTGCCCTCCCGGTGCTGCTGAATTCACTAAACTCACCAGTTGGGGAACTTCTACTCAGTGACCTCAGGTCAGGAATTCTGTGACTTGTAGCTTAGAGGATCAAACCTGACGTGGCTTCACACCACACACCCCCCCAACATTACCCACCTGCAGAGTGTGAGGAGTGGGTAGAAGGGAGTGCTCCATCACATGACACGGGGAAAGGATCCAACTGGAGAAAATGACAACGGAAGAGCCCAGAGTCATCCAGGAGGCAGCATGTGCCCACCCTGGGTCCCCACCCCGTGGCCAGACGTACTAGGTCAGGGCGACGTCCCTGGATTTGCCAACGGTCGCCTTCCAGGAGATGCTCCCTGTCCTCTTGCTCTGCCTTCCGGGGGGCGCAAATATAAAAAGAAATGTGCATGCAACTGTGCATCATACTTTAGATCCCACATATAAGTGATGCCACATGGTATTTGTCTTTCTCCTGATTTACTTCATTTAGTATGATAACCCATGTAGCTGCAAATGACATTATTTCATTCTTTCTTATGGCTGAGTAATACTCCAGTGTATACGTGTACCACATCTTTATCCTCTCCTCTGTTGATGGACATTTAGATTGTTTCCCTGTCTTGGCTATTGTTAATAGTGCTGCTGTGAACATTGGGGTGCACATGTCTTTTCCAATTAGAGTTTTCTCTGGATTACTAATTGACTTTGTGACACCAGACAGACAAATGTCAACATCCATCGGCCTCTGTTTCCTTATCTGTGAAATAGGGAAACTATTACCTACCTCTTGGGGTTGGTTTGAGGGAGAGACTGTGGTAGACCAGTTGTTCTTTACTACACTAAGCAATAAACTCAGCTTTGTGTTTATATCTCAGATGTTGAATGATAGTCACATCCTACTTTGAAATTCAGATATGTGCTTTAAAAAACCAGCAGATCTGTGTTATCAAAATTTGGGGGCACTTTTAAGGACCTAAGTCCTCCCTCCTCTGCTCTGGAATCACACCCACATTGATCAAGAAGGCCACCGGAGGGACTTCCCTGGCGGTGCAGTATTTAAGAATCCGCCTGTCAACGCAGGGGACGTGGGTTCGATCTGTGGTCCAGGAATATCCCACATGCAGTGGAGCAATTAAGTCCGTGTGCCACAACTACTGAGCCCACGTGCCACAACTACTGAGCCCACGTGCCACAACTACTGAAGCCTGCACGCCTAGAGCCCGTGCTCTGCAGCAAGAGAAGCCACCACAATGAGAAGCCCGCGCACCACAATGAAGAGTAGCCCCCGCTCGCCACAAGAGAAACCCCACATGCAGCAATGAAGACCCAACGCAGCCAAAAAAAAAAAAAGAAGGCCACTGGATGCTTTTTCCAAATGCTCAGTGTTTATTTGATTCTCTCTCCATGCCCTCTGGTAGGACAGACATTTCACAGATACTGAGGTCCTATGACATGAAGTTTACAAGCCTACCTCAGGCAAATGCAATGACCAAGTTAAAGTGGACACACAAGAATCACTACCTATGAGGGCTTTATGAGAATCAGAAATCATTATCCATCTTTGAAAAGGAACCCCCGGGCACAGCTGGACCCTAGAAGTTTCCTCCGTCAGAGTGAGTGTGGGTGGGGAGGGTTTTTACGTCTTCAGTTTTTCCACCAGTACCGGTCATCTTCTGCAAAAGAATACCAACCGTCACCAATTACAATGTGCGGCTTGAGTCGCTCTAGCTCCTCCAGAAGCCTTCTTATTCGAGCAGGGTATTGCCGTTTCCACAGCCTGGGGAGCAAAAAGGGGACTTACTACTCTGAGAATTTGCTTCTGACGCTTCTCCCTTCCTCAGAATTCCTGGACACCCCACCAAGGGTCTGAAACCTCCTCTTGCACTTTTTTTTTAATTTTTTCACACGGCATGTGGGATATTAGTTCCCTGGCCAGATATCAAACCCCCATCCCCAGCACTGGAAGCACGGAGTCTTAACCACTGGATCGCCAGGGAAGTCCCTCCTCTTGTATTCTTGAGGAGAAACAGTGTGTTCCCCATAGAATGAAAGTCAGTCCCTCCTTGTAAAGGAACTCTTTACCAGGCAGACACTACACTGAGTTTTTACAGGCACCTGTCCCTCATAGCTATCTGAAGAGACAGACATGGTTATTCATCCATTCACGAACTCCTTCCTGAGAACTGACTTTGTGCCAGGTCCTGTTACAGGGTTTAGAGGCACAGTGATGAACAAGGCAAAATCCCCACCATCATGAAGCTTATATTCTGGGAGAGAGAAACAGGTATCCAAATAGACACATGGTATTGTCCCCATTTGACAGATGAGGAAACAGCCTCCTGAAAGGTCCATTAGTAAAATCTAGGTCTGCCTCTTCTCATCTTTACCTGCTAAGTCCCCTAAGTCACAAGCTTATCTCATCAAAGGCTCCATTGCCTCGTGAGTCACCGACACAAATATGCCCCTTTTCAACACAGCCTTCTGCCTTTTCAGCTCACTCACTGAAGTGATCACTGAAACCGTTCTCTTTGGCTGCATCAAGATCTCCAAATCCACTGAGCCATGCTTTCCAATCCACCCTCCCCCTCAGATTTCACACCACAACCATCGTGTTCTTTCTGGTGACGTCCATCAGTCAAAACTTGACCCCTGGATAAATCCACC